CTTGTCTTAAGCAATGTGCACAGGTGGAAAAAAGGGGCTCTCCTCATGCAAAGCTGTTCTACACAGTGTCGATCGTCATTGTGGGAAATGAACCTAAGGTTTGTCATCCTAATTTTGTCTCTTTCAGCTAAAGGGCCATAAGTGACAGGTGGTTTGCGATCTACACGCCTAAACACAAACAGCATGTAGGGCACACATTGTAGCAACTACTCAGCTTGAGCAATAATTTTACGCCGTTTGATAGCCAACCGGTCCATCTAGACATTTGAACCATGCATAAGTTGCAATAAAATTTGGTACATGCATAGGAAATTCACAGATAAAAGGATAGACAGGCTCAGTACTACTGAAGTTCTATTTAGTGACCATAACATAGCCAGCAGGTTCATATCAGATTATGGCAATGCATTTTTTTAAGGAACTGCTCCAACACTCCTCTTTTTTAAAATTGCACACATCTTAAAGCAACCTATTTAACTAATTATTATCTCTTGGGTCACGCTGGGTCATGTATGAGCTCAGTCCGCAGAAGCCAGCCTAGACCCAAAGCCCAAGTTGCTCGTTATGTATCTATCCTACTAATTCATCAACTTTTTCTTTGCTAAATCCACACCAAAAAACGTCCCCCGCTAAGAAGCTTTCTATCCATCCACTCACAAAATTGTACCTAGAAAAACCACATCTTTAAAATGAACCGTCCAGATTGCTTCAAATCTCTTCTCTCTCATTACTCACTCACGTTCAACGGTCAGGATCACGTGTGTCAACCTCCTCATCCGACTCCCCCCCCCCGCGTGACTTGTGCGACGCCTCTCCTCTCTCTCCCCCGTAGGGATGAAATCCATCTCCTCTTTAAAAAAGAAACCCATCTCCTCTCCCCACGTAAGAAACCCAGGGTAGGGCAGGCGCCGGCCCCATGGCCACGGGCACAGCCGCCGGGGCCTGCCGGGGCGTGGCCTGCCGTGGAGTGGCCGCCAGGGGCGCGGAGCACGCGGTGGACTCGGCGGCGCGGCGGAAGTGGAGCACGCGGTGGCATGGTGGACTCGGCGGCGTGGCAGATGCGACTAGGGTTTCCCGGCCGCCGCCTCGCAGGTGAGGGCCCTTCTTCTCGATCTCCTCGCCATGGCGCTACAGTCACTGAGCATGAATCTCGAATACTGGTGGAATCTCGGTGCGTCGGGCATTTTTTTTTTTTTGTTGTTGTGGCGTCTCTAGCCGCTTCCTGCTCTAAGACTGTCTCTAACAAGAAACCAATATGGGCACTCAAATACAAAATGGGTAGCAAGAGACCCAAAATCATCCTTCAACAGAGTATCTATACGGGAGACTTATTTTGGGTTGCCTGAGAGGCACAACCCAAATATGGGCATCTCTCTCCTGGAAACTCATTTGCAGAAATGATTTTTTTTTAGGTCTTGTTGTTGGAGAAGATGCCGAATAGATATTGAACTTTTTGCGTATAGCGCTACCCAAAGGACGAATGAGTCCTGTTATTTTGGGTGTTGTTGTTGGAGATAGCCTAAAATATTTTGTTTGTGCAGGCTGCAGAAGCAGATGAAGATGGCCATCAGATGCTGTCGCATCTCGTCGTGCATGTTAATTCGTGGTGGTAGTGCTGAAGGCCTGACTTCTGAGGGTCCTGGTTGTGGATTAAACGTAAAAAAAACTCTGCTGAACGTTCTCAACGTTGTCAGTTTGGTGTCCTCTGTATGGTTTCACGTGCGTGCCTTCAATCAATTAGTTCACCGCTATGCATAATACAAGGTTATGCCAACCAGTCCTATCACTTTTGTTCACTTATCTTTGCTTAGGAACTGATCACTTTTGTTCACTTTTCTTTGCTTAGGAACCGATGATATGATCAATGGTGTTATTTTGTAATTGTGGTTGCAGGGGAGGGGTTGGTCTGATCGGTAGCACTGGTTGAGGAAGGCGCATAGCAGCTAATCGATGCGGTATGTTCTTCTCACCGATTGCTTGATTTCTAAGATACTGAATTTTGTTCTTTTGGGTCATGAACAAGGTCAGCAATCATTTAAATACATGTTGCTTGTCAAAATATTTCAGGAAATATGTACCTAAGGTGCACATATCTATGTTAAATATTAAGTTACAGTATGGAGTTATATTTGGTTGTTTCCATCAGTTTTCAGATCATTTTTCTCGCAGTTGATGTTTAGTGAGTGCTGTTACGAATATGGTTGTTGTTGGACTTGTGCTACACAAATGTGTTCATATTGATTACTATGTAGCTTTTCTGCAACTAGAAATTGATTAGTGAGTGCGGTGCATCGAGGATAAGGTGCTTCTCGATCCATTTTGTTCCTTTTTGGCCAGCGCATGATCTGGTGAGGCAGGGACGGCAGGGTGGATATCTCCAATGGCGACGGCGCATGATCCGGTGACTTTCTCATTCGAATATATCAATTCCGCTTAATCCAGTTTCAGTCATCCACCAAAAAGACTTCGTGTGTTTAATGCTATAGATAAAGAAACTGTCAACACAACTACTACATCATTCACCTGCTTTTTATATGAGAACTTTGATTCATGGATAGTAACTTGACTAAACCTGAGTATGATAAGGTATCCACGCTTTCTCCTGCCTTGATACAAAATGCAATGTGCAAAAGAATTTTAGATGTATGATGTTGTTTTCTGAATTTCAGCTCTTGAAGGCCCTTAGGGGTGTGAAGGTTCAAGTCACACACAGATGTAATAAACGCCGTAATGCAGTTTGTGATTGCCTTATGTGCTCTCCTTTTGTTTTTGTTGTAGCTTAAGTATCAAGATTCTGGATTTCAGAAAACGTGGTTTCCAATGAATGGGTACTGGAATATCAAAGACAAGGTATTGTTCATGAGCTGCAAAACCAATCTTAAAGTTAGAGGTTTAATGAAGGTCCATTTTAAGAACCTTTTCCAGTATACTGCCATTTACTTTCTCTTATGTGCTTTAGCGAAGTAATGAATCAATAAAAAATTTTCTTTAATTTTTCATGAATTTTGATTGTACATATATTTCTTCTTAATCTATAACCATTATTTGCATATATTTATTTGGATTGTTCGTAGAAAGTAATAAATGATGCCAAAATCAGCAATTGGGCAGTGTTAATTTCTGTGAAGATTTATCCAAGAAAGCTATTGACGAGAGGGAGCAGGCGGGGTCAGTGAGAGAGAGGAGGGCCGGGGGGGAGGGCTTTGTTTCATGTGCAGATGAGCCAAACCTTTTCCATTTTTCCGCAAGATTTGAGGGGTAGGAATATCAACGACTCTGTCCTACTAATTTATCAACATTTTCTTTTCTAGATCCACATAAAAAAACGTCCTCCGCTGAGAAGTCCTCTCTTCATCCATCTAAAAAGTGTACCCAGAAAAACAACACATTTAAAATGAACCATTCAGATTTAATTGTAAGCTTTCTCTCTCCTTACTCACTCAAATCAAACGGGTGCAGATGCTGTGTATCATCCTTCTTATCCTCCCACGCGCAACGAACTTAGGGCCTGTTTGAAACAAAGGAATACAAAATAGAGGAAATGAAAAAAAAACACACGAATAGGATATATGTGTTTTGGGAAAACAGAGGAAAGGAAAAACACAGGAAAAATATAGATTTGGGTGTTTGGAACACAGGAATTGTACACACAGGATTCTCAAAACATGAGATATGATTAAAAGAGATGAACATTTGTTTTGTTATTCAAATGTTTGTCATTACAACGTAAAACTTTAATTAATAAATAAACATATGTGATTACTACTTCGACAGGTACTACGTGTGTCAGAACCAAACAAATATATAAATTTGATTGCTAATCATGGAAATATTTTTTTAGAATTCTATGTTTGTCAATTAATCTTCTACCATAAGTGCATGTTTAATTTAAATGAAAGTACATACGGAATCCTCTAGGCTCTAGCACCGTGAATCCGTGATGGCATTGGTCTTCTATCCCCTCGCGCTCTCACTTACATGTGGGGCCTACTATCTATGGTTATTTGACCAAAGTTCAGAGTCATTCTCATCCTCTCGTTTGCGTTCTCGTTTTTGTTGGGTCTCTCCCGTCTCGTAGTCTCTCTCTTGGTTGCTGCGCCGCGGCCGACGCAGCCACCGTCGCCGCCATCGTCGCCCCTCCGGCAGCCAGTGCCCCTCGCGCGGCCATCGCCCAGCACTGCCGCTGGCCTGCCAGCCACCCGCGCCCCCTCCCTCCCACACATCAGCCTGGTGCCAGGTCGGCCATGGACGGATGGCCATGAGCTCAAGCAAAAAGATGCACTTGACCACTTTGGAAAGGTAGGAATTCTCCCTAAAACATTTGCTTCTACCGGCTTCTTAACCTCCACGCGCTCGACCGTCTCGGGCATATACGAAAACTTTGGATCAGAGTGGATTTTTTCTTTCCTGCGTTTTGTGAATGGAAGTGTTCCTTTCCAGAGGAACGGCAAGGTCGATTCCTTTGTTCCAAACGGCACAAGACGTCATCAAAATGGAGGAATTGCATTCCTTTGCAATTCATACAATCCAAACAGGCCCTTAGCCGCTCTGGGTTCGATTCCCACTCCAGGTTCCTTTTTCCTTTTTTTTTCCCCCCGAAAAAAGCAAAAGCTCAATGCGAGGCGGGGTCTGGAGACGGCGGCAGCGCCTCCACGCCATCGGAGGAGAAGTAGCGGGCGAGGAGATGGTGTGGCGGCCAGGAGGTCGGGACGGCTTGGATCTGCCACTGCGCCGCCTGGATGGAGGGCTGGAGGCCGAGCGCCAGGCCGCCAAGGCACCGGGCGCGGGGCCGGCGGCGGCGGCATGGAGTGCGTGTTCTCCGTGGGGGCCGGCGTAGGTGCCTCTTTCGGCGCGGAGGTCCTCCGGTGGGTGCAGGCGGTAAGGGAGCGGCGGCCGCGGGGAGCCGCGCGCCTGGGAGGAAGCGGCAGCCACAGGGGAGCCACACGCCGGGGAACAAGGGCCTGGCGAGGGACGCATACAGCGCAGCGAGATAGGCGGAGATGGACGGCCAAAAGCTCGAGGTCAACTGTCTATACCTGGAAATCCCTGCTTCGGAGTACACTGCTGCTGAGGAGGACTCGCTTGCAAGACTCGAGCATGGACATGAGGTGGCCGGAGCACCACCCGGGCAGGAGCACCAGCGCGGGCGTCGCCATTGGAACAGTCGGTGCAACTCTGTAAGCGTAACTTCACTGCTTTTCATTTTCCTTTTCCCTTTCTGAGAGTACACGCTCTTGATTCGTCCCAGAGACTGCTCGCTCGTGCGCTTTCGCGGTATTCTCCACGCACCTCAAGGTTGCTGGATGCTTGAGCTTAGGGGCATCGCATCACGAGTGACAGAGTTGTCGTCGTATCTTACTGCAGTCAAGGTGCTCGATGGAACGGGGGCTTTTACATTTTTACCATTATAAAGATTGTCACTCATCCGAATATCACTTTTGGAATGATACTTACAACTTTACTAGATGAGAGAAGTTTTAGTTTTAGATTTACCACTTTTACGCATGTGGCATGCCACGCTAGCTCGACACGTTGGCGCCTAGTCAGCATGAGCACGTGAAATGTCGTTGCTACCCCTGCCTTGCTCCTCTCTCTCCATCCCCGACAATACCGGGTCCCATGGCACTGTCACTTGCTAGGTGGGTCCCACTAGTTAGCCGTCTTCCAACTCGGCACTGGATGGGAGACGACCAGACAGTCACGCTCCTCGTCTCCATGTGCAGCAGCACCACCGGCGCCGCCGCCATGGCGAGCTCCATCACCGGCCGCTGGATGTGATGTACGCACCACCAGTGCTTGGCATGGCCTTCACGCCCACACGGCCGGGCAACATTGCTCCCCATGCGAGCTCCCAGTGAGTGAGCCACCACCTCGGCCTCCTCTCTCTCCAGCACACAGACGCATGCGTGCCTGCGAGGTCATGGGGCTGCTGCCGCTCAGCTCCGCGTCTTGTACGAGCGAGGCCAGCGGGGGAGCTCCTCGCTCCCCAGCCGGTGAGGCTACTGATGAGCTGCTGCTTTCAAGGCCTCCTCCTCGGCTTCCTCACGCCCGTCTTTGCTCAGAAACTCCCGTCCGACCGTCCCCCACGCGGCCATGCCTCCTCCACTAACTGCTGCGTGCTGCTCCATCCTCCGCCCTCTTGCCCACGGGATTGAAGACTAGCAACCGTGGGGAACCGGCCACGAGCTGGAAGACGAAGCTGACTAGTGGGGCCCACCTAGCAGAATAGGTGTTGCGGGACCCGGCTGTCGGGGATGGAGAGAGAGGAGCAAGGTAGGGGTAGCAACGACATTTCACATGCCCATGCTGACTAGGCGCCAGCGTGTCGAGCTGGCGTGGCATGCCACATGCGCAAAAGTGGTAAATCTAAAACTAAAACTTCTCTCATCCGGTAAAGTTGTAAGTGTCATTTTAAGAGTGATATTCGGATGAGTGCCAATTTTTATAATAGTAAAAATGGAAAAGCCCCGATGGAATGCCGCTGAGGTGAATGCATGGTCAAGAATAGTGTTATTGCCTTCACGTAGCTCGTGGTGTTTGACGATGATCAGTAGCAACGGAGAAGTTGTTTGGTCAACTGATGTGGAATTAGATGTGATATATGTCAAACTCGAAATATGTCTCTCTGGACAGGACTGAATTCTGATGATCCTGAACATTTGCATGTGACTTGTGTTTCCTCAGGAGCATCGAGTAAGGACGAGGCGGCCCTCTATCGGTTTCTCTATATTGAGACGAGGACAAGCCTGCGCTCGTAACTTATCCGGATGTAGCCTTAAATCATGTGCCTTTTTTGCTTCTAGATTTTTTTTGGTAAAGGTAGCAAGCTTGGCCATAGATAAAGCAACTTCCTGTGTGGTAGACATGTCTTGCTTCCAAGGATTCTTCTTCTGTCCAAAGGCTGCGTCGCTGTTGCTTCACAATTTCTGTGGGTACCACATCACACCTCAAGGACACAAGGTCAGTTATGATGTTTTTTCTTGCGTTATTAATTCAGGCAACCAACCAATTAACATTCTTAACATGTTATTAGGTCGGGTTCTTACATGGTTGTTTTTTATGGTGTATGTTAAGTATTGCAGTTAGGAGCAGCTCCGATTGCAGCTGATGTGCCTGTGCCATTTGTCGATGACCTTACAAGTCACTTGCTGATGTCCTTGATTTTTTCAGGTAGCATATCATGACATTTGCTGAATTCTGTATTACTACTTTGAATTTCGTATGGAGGTGGTCCCCCTGATGTTGTAATCTTGGTTTCTTCCCTGCAGTTTAGGGTCTGTAATGTGCTTGGGACTATTTTGTAGTGTGCCTATGTGATCGATGATTTTTCAAAATCATCAAAGCATATACACCATTTTGTTTGTTTAATTTGTGTTGTCCTAAATGTCACCGTAGCGTTAGCACGGGCAATATACTAGTCTCTCTAAACTGAAATTTGCTAATGCATAAGAAACCTAGAGACAGTCTTACACTTATTCCATGAATGTTGCTTCTCTAGAATCATTTGGGAAAAGGTTGGCACATGGATTATGGCAGTGGCACTGAGGCCGGCAAATTGGGGCCAGACTAATGACTTGGGACAATGGTTTGTCGACATGGGCAACAGCGGTCAGAGAAGTACAAGAGATGGATTATGGTCAATGATCATGCTAACCGTCTGGGAAATCTGGAAAGAGAGGACAACCGTGTTTTCAACAAGATCACCAGAACTGCTGAACAAGTTTTCAGTGCAATTCAGGATGAGGCCAAGGTGTGGATACGTGCTGGGAACAGAGGCCTGGAAATGGTGCTGCCATTGACGGCACAGCTGCCAGGAGGGGCGCCAATCAGGCATATAGTTTCTATGATTAGTTTCTTAGGAATAGCTATTACAAGTATTATGTAATTTAGCTTATGAACTGTAGGGGTGGTGTGGTCTTCACTGTATTATGAAGCCATGCAAAATGGACGCTCCTTGTGCCAGAGAATTGTATTTGCCCTGCTCTTCTCTTATCAATGAAAGCCGGTAACGGATCTTTGGAAAAAATTTTGCTAATGCATTGGCCAGTAGGTGGATGATTTTCTTGTGCTTGCGCTTGCGTAGTGGAATTGTGATTCCTTTTCTTGGTTTTCTATGTTCTTTGTTATCATTCTGTGACCCACAAGCTGACTATCTGCTTATCATTACACAGATAGTCTGATTCTGTTTGCTTAAATGATTGAATCCATGTTGTGGGCTTGTTTATTTTCTCTGAGTAAGAAATCACCAATCTTTGCGAGATAGAGAATTTGTGTTTCTTTCATGAGTAGATTTATTTTTTAGTTTTATGATTTATTTTTTCTAGACGCCACCGAAGCGTTAGCACGGGCAATATACTAGGGAATCCTCATTGATGGAGACGGGTGCGGATGATCACACCTCCGCGACTAGTTGAGGGGGCGAGGGGCTGTGCTGTGCCTGTGCGCTCGCCGTAGTGGCGACACCGCACGCCATGGGAACAACTGAATGCGGGTGTGTCATGCAGCGTGATCCTCCATGGCACGGATTATAAATGTCCATGTAGCCCAAGGCACGGTGGCCCGACACGAAGCACACAATTTTTGCCCCAACCAAGCACGGCATGGCCCGATGGTCACTGCTCAGGGCTAGTCTACCCGAGGGAGGCGAGCCGTGCACAGGCCGTTGCTTTCGAGCCCGTGGGGCACGCAACACGCCCCCATCTTCAACAGATGGGGCACAGCAGCGGCACTGGCCTCCCCCCTCCCCCTCCTCAGTCCTCTCCTCCCCAAGGCCTATCGCCCACACGCCCCACGCGCTCCCCGGCGTCCCCACCTCCCCCCTCATATATAAGCCGGCACGCCGCGCGGCTCTCCCTCACCCCAAACCCTAGCTCATTTCATCCCGCCGCGCCTCGTCTCGCCTCGCTCTCGCTGTCTCGCCCTCGCCGTCTCGGCTCCATCCTCCCCGACTCCGGTGAGGTGACCTCGACGATCCGCCTGCCGCCGGCGAGCAGCTCCCTACTCCTCCTACCCGATCCCCTCCCTCTCCACCTCTCCCTTCTCCCTGTCTCTATCTCCCCTCTAGATCTCGGTGATTATGTGAATTCGTTTCCCCGTTTGCCCCTCCTCTGCGCTCATCGTCCTTTCTAACCGGTGCGTCGTCTTCTCTGGGTGGCCCTTGTCTTCGGCACCGGGCTCCGGTTGTGCAGGTACAACCCAACCCTAACCCTAACACTAACCCTAACCCTAACCCTAACCCTACTCTTCTTCCATTGATGAATGATGATTGATCTATTCTGATATGTTCTTTTCCTCCTCCATCTCTTTGCGCAAGTCGGTAGCCAATGCGTCGTCCTCTAGCTGTGGCATAGAGCGACCAAGGCGGCCCCGCGCACCGTTGAGGAACGATGCTAGAGAACCCTCCGCGGTCATGGGCGCCATGGCTGGTGGTGATGACGAGATCCGTCAGGCCGCTCACCAGCAACGACGATCTGATCGCGATAGGCCTAGCCCTTGAGGACGACGGCGACATCCATGAGGACGCTGCTGCCTTGTTTGGTAACCATGCCGGTAGCGGCTCTACTGCTCCGATCGATCTGGACGGTGGCGGTGGTGAAGGGGCGACGGCGACTAGGACCCCAGTATGCTCCAACGGCTCAACTCCATCTGTTGCTAGTACTGGTACCTTTTCTGGACCTAGTGTTGGTAAGCGTAAATCTGCTGTGTGGGCTGATTTTGATGAGATCTATGAGACTGTGAATGGTAGAAAAATCTGCACTAAAACTATCTGTAAAATATGTAAGCATACTTTATCTGCTAGATCTAATGCTGGCACTGGGCACTTGAAGAGGCACCAGAAATCTTATAGGTAGAAAACTAATCAAGCTGCTAGGGTTCAGTCTAGGCTTGCTTACAGTACTGATGGTTCTGTGCATAACTGGGACTATAAACCTGATGTTGCTAGATCTGAATTGTGTTGTTGGATTGCTAGGCTTGATTTGCCGTTAGGTATTGGTGAGACAAAGGCCTGGGAGGATTACATTGTCCGTGCTCATAACCCTAGGCTTATTAAAGTATCTAGATAGACCACCACTAGAGATCTGAATAAACTGTTTACTGAATGTCGTAATATGCTTAAGAATTATGTGTTGTCTGCTGCTTTCTCTGTTGCTCTGACATCAGACATTTGGTCTGTTAATGCTAAGGAGGATTATATTAGTATTATTGCTCATTTTGTTAGTGTTGATTGGGAGTTATAGAAAAAGGTTATTGGGTTTAGGTTGATTGAGGTGAAACATACTGGTGAAAATATTGCTGAAAGAGTTGTTTGTGTGGTTGAGGAGTTTGGTCTCATTGATAAAGTTTTCTCTGTAACTCTAGACAATGCTTCTTCTAATGCTAAGGCTATGAAAACTTTGACACCTATGTTTACTGGTTATTTAGGTCCTGATCCTACACCTAAGCTTGTTGATCCTTCTAAGCGTAAGTACAGTCTTGTGCATCAACGTTGTGCTCAAACCTAACACAGAAGATTTTAGAACTGCTATTAACTTCTTAAATTTCTCTAATAAAAAAATTGTTATGTTTAAGAACTATTGTACTGCTCAGGGTGTTAGACCTAGAAAGTTTGGCTTAGATATGGATGTTAGATGGAATGCTACATATCTTATGCTTAAACACTTGGTTTCATATAAGCATGTTTTTTCTGTGTTCATTAATTCCAATTATGGCTCTAAATTGTTGTTTGCAAGGCATTGTTATATAACTGAAAAGATATTAGAGTTTCTAAAACTATTTTATGACTCCGCTGTTGTTCTTTATAGTGTTTACTATTCAACTAGTCCACTTATCCTGCACCATCTGCTAGAAATTGCTTCTTATTTATATGCAAGTGAAAAAGATCAAAATCTAATTGTTGTTGTATATACTATGAAGCTTAAATTCCTTAAATACTGGCAGCATATACCTCTGTTATATTCATTTGCATTCATTCTTGATCCTAGAGCTAAGATGAGAGGTTTATTTAGAGTCCTGAAATTACTTAAAGAGAGCATTGGTTGTGATTATACTTCATATTATGTTGAAGTGAAAACTGAAATTTACAAGTTATTTAAAAAATGTGAGAGAAAAGTTTGGTGCAGCTAGGAGTCAAAGGGTTGCATAGCCTGCAATCCATATATGTAAGAGAAAACAGGCATGGAGAAGAATTTTTGGAGGCCCTGGATCTATTGTTGGTCCGTCCTCTGCCTGTGCCTCTACTTTATCTTCATCTGCTTCTACTGCTAATGAGCTCTCTGTTTATCTGGACAGTGACAATGTCATTGCATATGAGGATGATTTTGATTTACTTCTGTGGTGGCGTGACCACAAACTAACCTATCGATTTCTATCTATAATGGTTAGAGTTATTATGTCTGTTTCTGTTTCTACTGTCTCTTCAGAATCATGTTTCAGCTTGACAGAAAGATAATTGAAGAGCGGCGACGCCGCCTGTTGCCTGAAACTATGGAGATGCTGACCTGCATAAATGATTGAGAGTTGGGAGAAAGCAGATTACAGCATGTTGTTGACAACCAAGGGTTGGAGGACTCCTTCAAGAATTTGTATCTCGAGGAAGATGCAGATGGGGCTGCTCGTACTGCTGGTTCATCTGGGGCTGGGGCTGGTTCATCTAGGGCTGGTACATCTAGGGCTGCTAGTAATTAGTGTTGAGAGAGAAGAGAGTGCTCTGTTAATCTGTTATCTCTATTGTGTATCTGTCATCTTTAACTGTGACAGTGCGACTTGGGACCTTTGAACAATGATGGAAGACTTATTAAGAGCTGTGTTGCACTCTTTTTTTCTTTCTAGGGTTTCTCATAAGGGTGAGTTTTACTTAGAAATGTTTTTAATGAAGTAGCATTACACAAACAGCTCAGTTATTTTAATTCTCTTATCTCCTTTGGTGGCTTTTGTTAGAATTGAGAATCTGTGACTGTGATCAGTTTATTACTTGTGAATGTGAAATATTGAAATGTGAATGAATTGTGAAATGTGATTGTAAAAATGGAGAAGTGTTGGATGAGAGAAGCAGTTTGAGGTGTTTTAGTGGCACTGGTCTGTGGGCTGACACGGCCCGTGGATTTTGCCGTGCTTACCAGGCCGGCACGTCACGGATTTCGGCCCGTAGGGCCGTGCTTGGGCCGAAGGCCAGGCACGAAACCCGGAGGGGCACGGCACGGGAGGCACGGCGTGCCGTGCCTGCCCGACCCCCTGCGGATCGTGCTTGGCCCAGGCCCTGGCCGGGCCGGGGCCAGCCGGCCCGTTGGCCAACTATAGCACGGATTGGGTACGGGGAAGACATTGATTTTTTTTTGAAAAGTGGGGAAGACATTGGTTGGGGGTGGCGAGGTCTGTTCAGCCCCAACAAGGCAGCGCAGGCGTGCCGCTCACACCGCTCGCGTCCACGTGACAATCGTCGTGGCATCGGGTTAGGACGAGGAGAGGGAGCGTTGGAATGGAACGGACGAGGTCCGGGAGCCGACCAACAGTGCTAGGCTTCGACGGGCCAGGCCCATGCGAGACTCAAGAGAAAAGTAATTAAGAAAAAAATAATTTGTTAGACGAGCTGCTTTGACATCGGTATAATTTTTTGAAAGAGGAGTATCTGAGCAATTCCCCTTTTTTCTACTGTATTATGGCAATACATATTTCAGTATCTATAGAAGTAAGAACATTTATTGGTTTTGAATGAATCACAATGTTCAATTTGTAAAAACAGCAGCCATGCAGAAGTGTTGCCGACTTGCCGTTAATCTTCCACCCAATTTGCTAATTTCACAACTACACTTAGTAGCTGAGACATGCAATATTTCATACAACATATATTTCTAAATGTATCCCATTCGTTATATTTCAAGATTGAACTAATAATAAAAAACAAAAGGCACAAATTTGCAGGTCAGAACTAACTCTGGTTTTCACGTTGTTGTACACAGGAAAGCCAAAATCAAATACGGCATCATGCTAATCACGAACACACCTAATGCTGTCTTGAGCCTATTAGCCTCTGCTTCAGACATGCTATATTTCTTCTCTGTGACTAAAACCTCCAGCCGAAGCTTATCATTTTCACTAGTCACCAATACCATGTCGTATAACTTGTTCTTCACCATGGCATCTGCCCCCAATGACTCCAACCTAGCATCTAGTTCTGTCTTCTTGTTTCCCATGCATCACCTTTAATTCTTACTCCTTCGTCTCTTTTTGTTCCTTTAATTGCGCATAGTACGCCAGGACCTCCCTTGTGAACGCTGGAGCCGCCTCCCTCGTGTCCTTTAATTCCTCTATCTTTACCTTAATTTCCTTCTCTGCTTCTCCTTGGTATGTATCAGCAGCATTCATGAACACCGAGCTGCCTTTCTTGTGTCCTCCAATTCCTCTGTCTTTGCCTTGATTTGCTTTTCTGCTGCTTCTTGGTACGTATCGGCAGCGTCCATGAACACCAGAGCCGCCTTCCTTGTGTCCTCTAATTCCTCTATCTTTGCCTTGATTTGCTTCTCTGCTTCTCCTTGGTATGTATCGGCAGCGTTCATGAACACCAGAGCTGCCTTTCTTGTGTCCTCCAATTCCTCTGTCTTTGCCTTGATTTGCTTTTCTGCTGCTTCTTGGTACGTATCGGCAGCGTCCATGAACACCAGAGCCGCCTTCCTTGTGTCCTCTAATTCCTCTATCTTTGCCTTGATTTCCTTCTCTGCTGCTTCTTGGTACGCATCGGCAGCGTCCATGAACACCAGAGCTGCCTTCCTTGTGTCCTCCAGTTCTTCCACCTTTTTCTTAATTTGTTTTTCTACTGCTTCTTGGTACGTATCGGCAGCGACCATGAACACCAGAGCTGCCTTCCTTGTGTCCTCCAGTTCTCCCACCTTTTGCTTAATTTGTTTTTCTGCTGCTTCTTGGTAAGTATCGGCAGCGTCTATGAACATTAGAGCTGCCCCCCTCGTGTGCTCCAACTCCCGCACCCTATACCCCAGCGCTGCCTTCGTCTCCTTCAGTTCCTTCTGGAGTGTGTCCTTATCACCGAACAGCCTGGTATTCTCCCTCTTCAAGTCATCCACCTTCTTCTTCAAGTCCTCCACATCACTGCCCATGGTCTTCTCTACAGCTGAAATTCGTGTTAGAGGGGGAGTTAGAGGCCGGAGACTCGGAGAGAGATGGGAATGCAAGCACGCTGCGCAGAAATTGGACAGTGAACAAAACAAAAAAAAGTGATGTGTTTTGCTTACCTTTAGTCCCCAGTCGACGCCCGGTTGCACTCCCGGCTATAGCCCCGGCTACAGCCCCGGCTACAGCCCCCACTGGACCAAATAAAGCCCCAACTGCAGCTCCCGCCACTTTCCCCACGGTACTCCCTGCAAAACCTCCCGCGGCCCCCACTCCAGCCTCGACGTAATCGCGCGCCTTCATCTTCCCCATGTTCTGCAAACTTGGAGAGTTCAGTGGCTTGTGGGCTTGCGGCCGTCGTCGCCCAGCTGGCGCTGCTGTCACGCGCGCACTCGGTGGATGTGGCAGATCGAAGCCCCAGCTGGCCAGCGTCCAGCCAAAGGATGCGGCGGTCCGTCGTCCTGCCCCTGCCCAACGGCCGAACCTGCATGCTTCAATTCGGGGTCTCTCTATAAGGGGAAGAGAGAGAGGAATGGAGTGTCGACGAGGAAGCGGGAAGAAGCAGAGGAGGGAAGGTATAGAGTTAGAGTGTCGGTGCTGAAGGGGGAAGAAGAAGAAGTGGGAAGGTAGAGGATGCAGTACTGTCAGTAAGGAAGAAAGACGATGGAGCGCGCGCGGCACACAGTGACCCCGTCCTCTCGAATCTGGATCCCCGCTCCTCTCTTGTGCTGTGCCGTGTCGTCCCCGGTTTCCATTTGCTCATGGCGATTTGCCTCTATGGTTACTGGTGCTGGGACACTGAGGTCTGAGGAGGTCGAGGTCGGGTCCGCCTCTCCGATCCAGGGAGAGGAGCTCCGACCGAGCCCCGCTGCCAACGTCACCGCCGCAGCTAGCTCTGTTGCTCTTGATTTTTTTTTTTTGATAAGGAACATTGCTCATGGCCTCTTGCTACCTTGGGCTAGGTGTTATCAGTGGACTACATCAAGCGGCTTTCTGCGACGCGAAACATTGATGGTTTCTGACTGTGATCCGTGAACGTTTTGTTTGGCAAATAATGTCAATGATTGCAGTCTGAAACTTTCTTTTGTTGTAAATAAAGGTTCCATTCTCGGTACCTAGTGTTAATACATGTGCTCATCAGCTAGCAGCCTATATAGCATGACAAATAGTAAACTTGAATGTTATGTTAGTCTGAATGTACTGTAATTTTCAGAGACATTTCCCTGCTTTTCGGTGGCATGGCAGTGCTGGTATTTGGATTTTGATACGAAAGATAGAAATTGTTGGATATGGGGTTTGCAGGCCATTTCCTTTTTTTTTGCATGCCATTTCCTATTCAATGCTAAGGCCTATTTTCTGAATGCTAATAGCCACCAACCTATTGTATTTGTCAGATATATGGGACCCGGATACCTCACCATCTGTATTCCAGCCCATGACTATCGACTGGGCTAAAGACGACCAAAATGGGGCCCATGTACTCCTGGCGCAACAGCAGATGTGATGAGCAAGCCACCTAGCATAGATAGCTTGCATTCCGATCTTTGAGGGATATGATAGAATAATCTATTGTACTTTCTATACAACTATCTAGGAAACGCATCTGTTAGCAGATCAGAATAAGACGAAACAGGTTCCACGCAATTTAGCAAAACTCAAAATGTGAATGCCTTGACTTGATATTTATAACCAGGAATATTGATAAGTTTAACTAAGTATGTTGCGAATTTGATTTGCATAAGGATAAGAAATTCATGCTTATTAGTAAGTTGTCAAAATAACTTATGGTTGTGAGTTATTGATAAGCAAAATTATTGTTGCATAGTCGACAATGTAGACTAAAGTTTGTGGCATGATTTAATTGGGCAGCTTATTGCTTCTAAAATTAGTACCTGGATTAAGAGTGATAAATAATGCGATAGTTCATTGCAGTCATCTACATGTTTAACAATGGATCAAGTGAAACTCCCAAGCATACTAACGTTAAGGTGCAAATTGTGAAAGTTAGAACACAAAATCTTACGGAACGCCTAGCGCCCGGATGGGATGCCGCGTCCGGATGCAGCTCCTTGCTCCGCCCCGTCCGCTCAGACTCGCGGCAAATCCGCCTCGCCCCACTCCGTTTGATGCGCCGCCCCGCCCACTCGGTTGCACGCACGCGGGCCCTTTGGGACCATCCAGCCCGCTCCTCTCCACGCGCGCACGCGGTTCCGCTCGCTCTGTTTTGCATGCGCACGCGGGAATTTGAAAAGCGGATGTACTTTTGCAACCTCCAGAACTAGTTTTGCAACATCCAAAGAAAAACAAATGCAACATGCGTTTGAAAACAAATGAAACATTTGGAACATAAATTTACAACATACATTGAAGCCTTTGTAACACATGGAACATCTAGATCTACTTTGCAACATCCAAATAAAACAGTTACAACATCCGTCTGAAATAGCTGAAACACTTGAAACATACACTTGCAACATATGTGTGTATCCATTGCAACACATGCAACATCCCCCGATATACTTTTGCAATATTTAAATAAAACACTTGCAACATCCATATGAAACACCTGTAACATGCATATGGAACACCTGAAACACTTACAACAAACGTCTGAAACACTTGCAACATCTAGATGAAACACTTGCAGCATGCATACGAAACACCTGAAACACTTGAAATATACCCTTGCAACATGGTGAATCAGTGCAACATCTTCTTCCTACTTGGGCGAATGGAGGCTCGTCGGCGTGGAGAGAGAGGGGGGAGGGAAGGCCGCCGGTCTTCAGTGCAACATCTTCTTCCTACTTGGGCGAATGGAGGCTCGTCGGCGTGGAGAGAGAGGGGGGAGGGAAGGCCGCCGGTCTTGCACGAGCTGGCGCTAGAGAAGGATGGATGCACTCGAATCTCGCCGCTCCGGGTCTCGCCGCTCCAGATCTCAAAGTGGGATGCGACAGTGGATGGAAGGCCGCCGGTCTTGCACGAGTTGGCGCCGGAGAAGATGGAGGCGCTCGGATCTCGCCGCTCCGAGTCTCGAAGTGGGGCACGACAATGCATGGAAGGCCACTGGTCTTGCATGAGCTAGCTGTTGATGGTCGTTAACATCAATTATAAACCATCAACATATCCTACATATATACTGAATTCCATCACCAAACATAGGTCTATGTGTTTAAACTAATAAATTCTATGTATATTGGTGAACATGTGTTTGCAGGAGGATTTAATCAGAAAACTGTCAAGGAGGACCTATTCGTCAAAGCAAGTCACGTTTATCCGCAACGAAACTGACTTGGGAAGACTCTAGAAGACTCTAGAGGGCAAACCATCGAAGATGGGGCCCACCTATCACTGTGATAGGCCGATCGGCCCCACCTATAGGCCGGCCAGCCTATGGGGCCCACCAGTCAGCCCCTGCTTCGTATGTCGGTTCTCCATCGCCTCCTAGATTGCATCTACACTGTCCTTTTAAGTTGGTTTGATCTGAGGGTCCAGAATTGATGCTACCCCCTATATATACAACCCTATACCCCCTCTAGGAGGTGCCGGCCTGTCGGTGCTCTCTCTACGGCTTGTACCTTGGTGGATCCAAGTTCTATCTGAGCTTGCCTCTGAGATATTTTTGGTAATCAATTTCTGTTCAAGTAAGCATCTTATTTATATTGTTCATCAGGATCATGACTCTTTGAGTGCTTTATTTCTGGTCTAGAGGGGGTAAAGTATTAATCATAAGTGTAAGCATGGTGCTTAAACTTGGGTTAATCGTGGATGCACCCTGCATTCCGGATTAGTGGTAGCTCGCGAGAGTGACTCTTATGGCCTCGTTGAATCCTTTGTAGTCCACCTCCCATTTGTAGGTCAAGTAGGACCCGATTACGAAGGAAAGCATCATTTGCTGGTGTCTTTTTCTAGTAATGTACCCAGTTGAATAGTACAAGCCTAGCTTACCGAAGTAAAAAGAAGAGAACCTTAGTTATCCTCTCTACGCTCCTATTTATCCTAACCTTGTTGCTACCCTTAGTTAAGTTAGACCATAGTTAGTCTCACATGTTTTCCTATGGATACGATACTTGGAATACTTTCGGGTGAAAGCTATAGCGGTATCCGTGCGCTTGCGGATTTATCTGTGTGCGTTAATAAATACCAACAAGCTTTTCTGGCGCCGTTGTGGGGAAACAGTTGCTGAATTAACTACAAACCTAGCTTAACCTTTTATCTTTTATTCTTTCTTTTGTTTTTCTTTTTCTTTTAGCATGGATAACACACCTATATATCAATATGCTAAATATGCTAAACCCACGAGCGTAAGCCTAAAGTCACCAAAATCTTCAGAGCCTATCCTAGCACCTAGCTATGAGCTGTGTCCGTGTTTTATAAAAATGATTTAGGAACAATCCTTCTTAGGAGAAGGCAATGAAAACCCATACTCACACCTACAAGAGTTTGAACAGACATGTGCATGCTTGCGTATCACTGGCATGTCTGACAAAACCTTAAGATGGAAGTTGTTTTTGTTCTCTTTAACGGGAAGAGCTAAACAATGATATAGTCGAACCATAGGGAGTATGCAAGGAGATTGAGAAATGTTATGCTCTAAATTTTGTTTACGTTTCTTTCTCATCTCTAAAGTGGTTAGCCTTTGGAAAGAGGTTCTAAATTTTAGACAATTAGAAGAAGAATCTCTTGGCACATCATGGGATTGTATTAATAGTCTTATCACCATTGGCCTAGACCTTGCTATTTTAGACCTGATGCTCCTTCAATATTTTTATATGGGTCTTAGCAAGGATTCTGCGCAATCCCTTGATCAAGCCTCTAGAGGAACTTTTCTTTGTTTGATTGTTAGTGAAGCAAAGTCTATGCTTGATAGAATTATTAGAAAGACTCTCTACACTAGCATTCATGATGAGCTCCCCAAGGACAAGAAGGAATCATCTCCCGAACAAGAAGAGGAAGTTTTGGTAGTCAAATCACAACCACTCCAATCCTAAGATTTAGCTATCAATCCCGAACCATCAATACTCCAGTATCTAAATCCTCCAAGGGAAGAAGAAATTCAACCTTTTGAAATTTCTTGTGAGGATGATCTTTTTGATGCTGATTTTGGGAAAAGCTTAAACTTCCAGTTCCATAAGAGACCTTCGAGCGAATATAACTCAAATCCTCTCAAGAAGGAATCTCTTAGAAAGCGTCCTTATTCCCATGTAGGACATTGGGAAGAATTCAATGATGGCATATCTAGTGAACCCATAGAAGGAGAGCCAAGTCATTTAGAAGCAATTCATATCTTCTTCCCTTCTATGCCCATATTAGAT